ACTCAGAACATTGCTTTGTATCAATACTGTTTCAATGACCTGCCCCATATTAAATTTGCCAGTGTCATATCATCCATCAAAGAGGGAAATAGTTGGACAAAGTACCCATATGTACCTGTTGTCAATCCTTTGACAAGGCACTTTTCATTCTACATCTGACGTGTATAAATTATTGGTACTGGAGGAACCTAACAAACTGTTGTTTGGTATTCCTGCAGTGAAACTACATACAATTTGTAGCATCCCAACCAGGGGGAAGACGCAATACTCCTATGTTGCTTCCTGCTACTGAAACAGGAATTAATACTGAAATAACAGCCAGCATGATGAGCCACTAGCTAGGTTTGGAGGCAAGCGCTGCCTATATACACTGTATCTATATTGTGCTGTAATAGTATAGTAGGTCCCCCACTGATGAACTACCCATACTTCTATGTTTAAAGACACAGCAAAAATTAATGATTTTATTTAATTGCTGTTAATGTTCTATTTCAGCTGTGACAGACACATCCCTGCCAGAATCAACAGAAACTGCTGATACTGTTGAAGACATCTCTAATTACAGTGCACAGTTAGTGTGTGCTGTTATCTTTCGTGTTCCGACATTTCGAAATCTAAGTGTTAAAAAGCACTTAGCTCCTGCTGCCAAACTCCTGAAGATTAAGACGAGAGGTCAAGGGAAATATGACTTAGCAGTTAATGTTGCAATCGGTTTAGTGCAAAAGGGATATGTCGGTACTACAAATCCAGATGTAAATTACAAAGAGTTGGAACGAGAACAAATTGTAATTTTAAAAGATCTTGAGGAAGAGCTGCATGTAGAGAACATTAAGAAACAAGAGGCTTTAAGTAGTTCACCTTCAGAAAATGAAGGGGATTAAGATATCAAAAAGATTGTTTATTTAATGTGTTTGCTCTGTGGCTTGTTTAGTTCAAAAGTTATGAAAAATATGAACTACCAATTATTATTATTAGTTGCTATATCGCTTTAGTGCAAAAGAGATATGTTGAAATTCAACCTCCAGAAATAAAATATCGAGTTAAACTGGAATTTGTGTTCATGATGATTCAGTGATGTTACACTATATGGTAACATGCCTTATATCCTGTGCTTGACATACATTTTTATTTATTTAGAATATTATATAACTCAGTGTTTGGTAATTAATGATAATCAAAATATTGACCCTAAAATCTGTTTTTCCCGTTTCCAATGTTGAACTATTACATAGATTACCAAACTTGGTAATATAACATATAACCTTCCAACATAGGATTTCTCTGTTTCCAATGTTGGACTATTACATAGATTACCAACATTGGTAATACAACTATGACCTTCCAACTTTGGAATTCTATGTTTCCAATGTTGGAATATCATGTAGGTTACCAAACTTGGTAATATAACATATAATCTTCCAACATTGGATTTCTCTGTTTCCAATGTTGGACTATTACATAGTTTCCCAACATTGGTAATACAAATATGACCCTCCAACCTTGGATTCCTATGTTTCCAATGTTGGAATATTACATAGATTACCAATGTTGGAATATTACATAGATTACCAAACTTGGTAATATAACATACAACCTTCCAACATTGGATTTCTCTGTTTCCAATGTTGGACTATTACATAGTTTACCAACATTGGTAATACAAAAATGACCTTCCAACCTTGGATTTTTAGTTTTTGACTTACCAAGGTTGGAAAGTGTATCTCTTTTTCCAATATTGGACTTTTTACTGATCTTCCATCGATTTTCCACTATTATACCAATGAAAAACCAATGCATTTCCAAATTTGGAATCTCTCAATTTTTTCCTGTGTATGTATCTTGTCTGCAACATGTGGATTTACCATGTTTAAAAGCTCATTGAAAGTTTCTCTCCAAACCAGGAGTTGCTGCTTAAAGTAATCATCAGGAATCCTGTGATCATTATAATATATCTTGAACCATGATTGTTGTGGCTGCCGTAAACACCAATATCTCGATTGTCAATTTCGTCTTCTTCTCTGCCTCTGCCTGTGTCGATATACAGCAACAATGGCCAACATTTGCCGTCAGTGACTGTTGTTTAAAGCATACATACCAATAAGGTCTTGTAGATTAAGGAAATTAAAAGGAGATTAGAGACAAGTCACCAACAAAATGAGCACCAGCCTCATAGCTGCCAAAATTGTTTACGCGTGTGAAAATTTAAATAATTACCAGACTGGTATTGTATATCACCTAAAGTTGCAAACATGCGACCCCTTTGACCCCCATGGCGTAAATGTCCCAACATATTTGCATGACAACTTATGGCGCAACAGAAACATAAAAAGTCAACAGTGCGACCCATGCTTTATGTGATTGTGGAGATTGCCAGTACTGGTGTTTTTCTGCTTGAGCTAAGTTTGATATTGAAAATTGAATGTTATGTTAGTTGTACAATGAGCTAAGCATTTTTGGAAATGTCTTTAAGTATTGTGAGTTAGAGACAAACATCTATTTCAAATGATGTTATCTCTCCTAACCACAACTGTTGTTTATTTAATTGCAAGTCTGCTAAGTCTAACACTTTTCATATTGTATCCTAGAAACTGGAGCCAAGACTGAGAGTGGTAACTGAAGAAAGAAAGAAGTCAGAATTGATTGAGTCATTGCAACAAAGCATCTTGTCTGGAGGGCCAAGGAAGTTTCTTCTTTTTTCAAAGATCTGGACAAGGGCAAGTATGTCCACCCAACAAAGGAGACAGTCTGTAAACAGGCATGTTGATCGTCCAAGTACCAGAAGTCACAATGAAGTGCCAGATAAATTGCTCTAGGTCATTCAATTGTGATTCTTTTCTATTTTTTTTTTCTTTTTTCCATGAACGCTGTCAGTGTAACTAGGCAATTTTGGTCACAGTGGATCCTGTGTAACAAAGCAGTGATTAAAGGATGTCCTTGATTTTGAAAAAATATGGATATTTCCTGCTGGAAGCCCTGCCATGTTCCCTAAGTTCAACTGCAAAAGCTATTTTACACTTGTGGATGGTGAAGAAAGAGTAGAATTTTTCAAACTTTGATATTTGAGCCAAGAAAATTTTTTAGTATTTTTGTGAAATTTAACAAAATTAAGAAAACAGCTCCAAATGTTGAACCTGATGATACATGTAAAAGCTTTTTTTACGACTGCCTGTTTGAGTCCCAATATAATTATCCAGATCTCACGTATGCGCATTTTAACATTTTCCCAAGTTTACATACCTCAGGTGGTAAACAGATGTCATATTTCACTCGGTTTTGTGCAAGGTTTGTTCGTGTCATTTAAAAGTTTCATTTTATTGACCAAAATGAAACAGATTCTATTTGTTTGCTAAGGGTTAGACATACAATTTTGTTAATATTGTAGTAAGAGTGCATTTTTTTCTGCTGATACTTTTAAAATTATTTTCTAAATGCTTGATTTTGAGGTTTTCTCTGTTGTGAATATTTGTAAAAATTGTATAATTAAGAAATGATGTAACTAGACGAATACTAATTTGCTTAATTGGTAATAAAAAAACTTCTCAACGCAAAAAACTACAAACGCTAGAAAACTTTGTATTTCATTATGTTAACCAACCCATCAACGTTGGACAACACGTGGTTTTCAAGCGTTATCTACGCATTTACTGTCCTAGAAAATGGAAGAAAATACATTGAAAACTTCTGTGAAAATAATTTTTTGTTTCTGAAAAACACCAGTAAACAACAAATTACAAACTGTTTTCCCATTTGTTAACTGTGCTCTTAACTCCAGGAAACAATCGTTTTCATAGAGTTAACTGTGAAGGAAAACTGCTGGATAATGGAATGAATACTCCAATTTGCCGACTCAAAAACGACAGGAAAACATTAGATTTTCTTCTAGAAAAATGTCAGAAAATGTGTGAATACCGCGTTTTCAAATATTCACAACTTGTTTTCCGAACAGGGGAACACCATATCTTTTGGCAGTTTCATTCTTCCAAAAATCTATCCTAGCGATCTTTCCTTTAGTATTAATAATGTGCAGGTTTCTAGTCGTAGACCATTTAGATTTTTTAGGTGTAAATCTCAATAACTCTCTAAATTATAGAAATTATAAATTACAGTTATTTTAACACATTGCCAAGATTACTAAGAAAGTTGGAAAGCAGTAAGATGTTTTGAACAAGCTAAAGAAAATGCAATCAATTTCCTCAAAAATGTGCCTGTGCAACTTGTATGTAATGTCTTACTACACTTACTGTCCTGCAATTTGGCTCAATTGTAATGAGTCTGATAATCAGAAACTGGAAAGGCTTAATGCGAGAGCTCAAAGGTGTCTACCACAAAGGGGTGCCCCTTCATGGTTTACAACCTCTAGCTTACAATCTACATATTTTATTAGTGCCAAAGTATGGAATTCTTACTGGATGAATTACGCTCAACGACACTGACCTGAGTTGAAATAAAGTTACTTACTTTCTTGACTGTTTTTTATAAAATTGTTTGATTGTTACAAATTAAATTCATTTGTTGCTTGTCATCATGAGTTTCGTATCTTGTATCACAAGTCTTGTCATAGGGTGGAAAGATAGAGTGAACTCCAAAATCGTTTGGTGGTTGTGCAGAGAAGTCTGTCAAAGATGTGATATGAAGGGGGAAGTGGAAATCTTTGTAGAAGACCTAGAGGCTGAAGTTTATATCAACTCCTGGGACCTGTTTTTGGAAGTGGTCACCACCCCTTTTCAAGTCATTGTCTTTGTATTATGGCTTCAACATACATTTCCTCAAGACGCCTGGGTCTATTTTAAAAGCATAAAGTCTATATATGCAGACCGTTCCACGTCTATGTATCATCTGATGCAAATGATATTGACATACTAAAGCAAGTGTGGCGGAATGATTCAATCGCACGTTGAAAGAAATAAGAAGTGTATTGATATTTTAAAAGTTCCAATTCTTTCAGGTATTCAAGTTCCAATTCTTTCAAGTATTCAAGAACACCCTATGTGCCCTGGGACATGGGTACGAAAATTCACTGCAGTATTGGAATGAAACCTTCTGAAGTGACGTCCAGAAATGCCAGTCATACATTTATGCAAATTAAGTGTCCGATATATTGGTGCTCATCGTAGGTGTAAAATTTCATGCAAATATAGTGCCATCTCTATAGTGCCCTCTTTCAAATACTTTGCTCTATACATACTTTGTCTGAAAAAATCCAGAAGCGCAAGAGAATTTTCTTCTCAGGATACCCATGCTTTCGAGCTATGCAGAGGGCCTAGAAAGCCATGTTTGAGAGCGATATTTAAAGAAAATTTCTTTAGTCGGTATTGATCCAGCAGCCATTCCAAAGGAGCAGTTCCACTCAGAATGTTTGCCCCCGATTGAAGCCTCAGACCTTCTTTCCTATTTAGTTCTTGAGACAAGTTATTCTACAAATAAGCAGTTTAAAGCTTTCAAAAGTCTTAAAGCATACAAGCAAGCGGTGTCCGGCTTCATAATATCAGTTCAAGGAGCAGAGATTCGCAACAAGATTGTTGTTGTGGCGAAGGTGAGAAATTTGCAACAGATGAACAATCCTCTGATAGACATTTGGATCATCCCAGAAAGAGATGGTACCATTCTTTCAGCTCATCACTGGCACATAAAGCCAGTGGGTTAAGAACTTTTTAGACATCGTGCTGGCAGAATTGGTGCATCTGAAAGTTACGCAGCATTCAACACAAATGTTGTGCAGCCCTCTCAGTCTCTGTTTAAAACAATTTGATACCCAAGCCACTGCATAGTTAACACTAAAGCTACCAGACATGGTCAGAGGCACGAAAGTGATGCTGCAAATGCATACGAAGCTGCTGTAAAATCTGGTCATGTGAACTTAGCTGTTAAGAAGTGTGGCTTGTTTATTTACAAACAACATGAATTTCTTCATGCCACTCCTGATTTTCTAGTTTCATGTGTCTGTTATGGCACTGGATGCGGTGAAGTGAAGTGCCCGAGTATAATCAAAGATGGCAACTTTGAGAACTTTGCTTAGCACAAGAATTCCTGCTTAGAAAAAGTGAAAGGACATTTACAGCTCAGAAAAAGTCACAGCGACTACTATCAGGTGCAGCAGCAGCTTTTCTCTGTGCCTGGAATCAAGTATTGTGAGTTTCTGGTTTGTGCCACTGATGGGAAAAAGAGCATGAATTTAATAGTCCTGCGTATATATCCAGATTTGCAGCATTGGAACTCGGTACTGCCCAAATTGGAAACATTTTGGAGAATATGTATTCTTCCAGAAATTCTAGGGCGATGGTATGCCTGAAGATGCACAGTGCCTCCCAAATTACCATATAAGGATGGTATTTGTTTTTTCAGGAAAATCAGACATGAGGAGACCATTTAATGCAGTAACGAAAATTGCTCCTACAAAAGGTTTCACCCTTCCTGTCTTTCAGTCACCGCCATGAGAAAGCCGGAGACTTGGTATTGCCCTCACTGCTCTTAACTTCCCCAGTTCAAGAGAAGAGGTGGTACCAGGACATCAGCACAACCCTCTACAGCATCTATTCAGGCAGCTATAAAATTGGACAACATTTGCATCTGCAAGGCTAAGTGTAGTACAACAGAGAAGGTTGTAGAATGCCATGGAGACAACTGTAAAAATGGAAGATTTTTCCACCTTTCCTGCCTTGGTCTAAACAGAATGCCCAACAATTATCAGACAACCTGGAAATGCTCTGAATGCAACAAAGGTGCCACTTTCCATTCAGCCACCACCCTTACCAAGTATTGTTCTTCATCAGATTCCTCAAGTGGTGAAGGGGAAAGTGATATTTCTATCACTAAAGTCACTCACGGCAGCAGTGGCAAGTCAAGTTCACTGAGAAACCTAACTGACTCCCATTTTGATTTCATTTTTAGTCCCACTGGATGGCTAGACTGTGACATTATTCACCGAGCTCAAGTTTTGCTGCATGGTGAGAATTCAAGCATAGAAGGCTTTCAGTGACCAACTCTTGGCCCAGTTAGAAATTTTGATGTTGTCAGTGGTGAATTCATACAAATTTTGCACACTGGTTACAGTCACTGGGTGTGTGTCAGCTCGAATGGATGTGATCTGGGACATATCAATCTTCATGACAGCCTGTATCATGACTCTGTTTTAACCCAAGAGGTTGAAGAGCAAACAAATGACTTGTTGGGGGGCTGTTTGGTTGCTCTTAATCCTATGCCAGTGCAGCAGCAAACAAATGGAAGTGATTGTGGGATTTTTGCTATTGCATTTTCCACCTGCCTGGTCTTCGGAGAAGATCCCACGTTTGTAAATTTTGATGCTCAAAGTATGAGAACTCACTTAGCATCATGTCTAAGCAATGGCAAGTTTACTTTGTTCCCTTCATTCTAAGTACACTGACTATGTATACAGTCTAAAGTGAACAATAAAATCTATGTAATTTTGTTTTTACTCAGTTTCAGTTCTCAATCTTTGTACATTATATGCATGTGGAGAAGATCATTTACTTTCCGGATAAAAGAAAACTAAGTTTTGAAGAGCAATTTTTTTAATCACACTTGCCAGTCTAAGTTTTTGTACCTCGGTTGTAATTTACATGGTATACTTTGCTTTCCTACTTGCTTTCCCCTACTAAGTGGTGGTGGCATCTCAGTTGATTAAACACATTTCTAGTAATGGACTTGATGAAATACTACAATCTGCATATAAACAATTTCATAGTACCGAAACAGCTTTAGTTAAAGTTTTTAATGATATTATCCTAGACATTGATAGGAATAGGAATGTTATCTTACTTTTATTAGATCTATCGGCCGCTTTCGATACGGTCGATCACACTATACTGATTGAGAGATTAGCAAACCGCTTCGGTCTTTGCGATCTAGCTCTGGCCTGGTTTAAATCATACCTGAGCGACAGAACTCATTTTGTGAGCATTCGTGGTGCGCGGTCTGTAACATGTTCGCTGTCGTGCGGAGTACCACAGGGCTCTGTGCTTGGACCGATTTTATACCTGCTCTATACCTCCCCATTAGGGGATATTGTCAGACACTACAACATGGGCTATCATTTCTATGCTGATGATACTCAGTTGTATCTGTCTTTCAATTCTCTCAGTGGGGATGATCAAGCTTATTCTGTCTCTCAGGTTGAATCTTGTGTTAGAGATATCAACCGTTGGATGTCTTGTAACAGACTTAAGTTGAATAGGGACAAGGCGGAACTGCTCGTTATCAGTTCAAAATATCGGCCACGCCCATCTTTAGATAGTATCCTGATTGGTGATCATCGTGTAGAGCGGTCTGACAAAGCTAGGAACATAGGAGTTGTTTTTGATGAGACCTTGTCACTGGATAAGCATGTGAGTTCCGTTTGTAAATCTGCTTTATTTCATCTTCGGAATATCGCTAAGATTAGAATGTATCTGACTTTTGAGAGCACAAAGACCCTTGTCCATGCTTACGTTACTTGTCGACTGGACAATTGTAACTCATTGCTCCTTGGGTCACCAGACTATATTATGGCCAAGTCGCACTAGAGGACAAAACTGTTTATTCATGTCAAAAATCTGTCATCACAATGAAAAACCAAGTGCGACCGGTTTGTTCACCAAAGGACAAAATTTGGTTGCAGACGGACAAATTTCAAAGATGCCGTCGACTAACTCTGGAGCAGGCCAAATTGAGACAAATTTTGGAAAACAATAGCGAGGGTGTTTTAATTCGGAAATGATTTGACAGGTGATATGTAGCAGAGTCTCTATGCTATAGACTTCGCGGCAAAATTGGTCACATTCTCATTTCGCAACAACATGAATCCAGGCACGGGCAACCAATACTTTCCGTATGAAATGGGGCAACAATATCCTCAATATCCACCAGGATGGATATATCCGTTGCCTAGCACTTACAATTTTAATGATCGAGGAACTGCAAGCCCATCTCCTTCAACCGCAAGTTCTGGCTTGTTGTCAGAATCCTTTCCATTCGTCAAAGACGGCTCAATGCCGGAATCATCCCAAACTTCTTCGTGCCGTACATCTTCCGAGAACAAGAAGGCCCAGGAACGATGGACTAAAGATGAGGAAAAACTGTTAGTCCGACTATGGGCTGAAAAACACGATCAGTTGGAAAGCAGAGAGTGCAGGAAAACGTGGGCCTGGATCGCTGAGAAGATTTCGAAAGCGCTACAGTCCAACAAGACGGCCGACAAATGTATTCGGAAAATGAAGTACATCATAGAAAGATACAAGAATGCAAAAGATTGGAACAAAAACCAAACAGGAGGAAACCTTAGGAAATCCGTCTACTATGATGAGGTCCATAAGATCCTTGGATGCCGCGACCTAGTAACCTTTAATAATGTAGCCGAAGCGGGGATCAGCGGCGAAAGTGCCCCCCAAGTTGTAGCTGAATCAAGTGATACTACTGGCGAGAACAGTACTTCATCTAGCCCCAATGTGCTACAAACTCCAGCTGAAAAGAGAAGAGCGTCAAAGAAACGGAAACGAGCTTCGAAACGCAAAGCTCCTGATAATGACAGCGACGAAGAGTTTAAGATGGCTCTAAAGGATATGAGGCAGCAGGGGGAGAAAGTTACAGCATTTATG